GCAGGTCACTTGGATAAATACATTGAAGGAGGGACGCAACCAGCCCCCCAGGACCATAATAACCCCAACGGGATGCCAGTCAACGCCCCACCTCAAGGCATTATCAATGTGATACATGGAGTCTTTGAACCTGAACGTGTATGCGAGCTCAGGGGATCAATCAAAAAGGCTAAACACTTTAGAGAGGTGCTAAGTGCCCAACCTGCCATCAAGAAGGGGAAAACAGAGGCCACGAACGTCATGTCTTTTTCGGATAAAGACTTGGAACGGATATATTGCCCTCACAATGATGCCCCGGTCATCACTCTCCGAGTCAAGGATTTTGACGTCAAGCGGATTCTGATTGACCAGGGCAGTTCATGTGAAATCATGTACTACGAAACATTTAAATAATTGAAGCTGCAAGACAAAGACTTGGCACCTGTCGTATCTCCCCTAATTGGATTCAACTCCATGCCAGAATGGCCCGTCGGCAAAATAATTCTTCTAGTCAGAGCAGGAAGCGTGACGAAACAAGTGGAGTTCTGGGTATTGAAGGTCCATTCCACTTACAACATCATCTTGGGCAAAACATGGCTGCATGCCATGCGATCGGTGGCGTCATCCTACCACCAAGTAATGCGGTTCCCCAACGATACCGGGGTAATTGAAGAAGTCTATGGAGATCAGATCATGTCGAAGCAATGCTTCATCACAGTAAATGGCAGCCGCGCTGCCAAAAGATACGTTCATTCGGTGGAAGAACCTGAGAGCAATGAGCTATTCACAGATGTCGGCAAAACAGCTGATCAGAAAGCGGTGGAGGACTTGGTAGAGGTGAGAATAGATGAAAAGAACCCGGATAAGTTCTTTTTGCTCGGTTCGTTGTTATCCAGCACTGAGAGATTAGAGGTCTTGGAATTCTTAACCTCTAACATCGAAGTGTTCGCCTGGACGCCCTACGACATGCCAGGCATTGATCCAAACTTCATCTGTCACGAACTCAATGTCCACCCATCCGCCAGACCAGTCATCCAGCACACACGCAGATCAGCACTCCACCATGCCGAGATAGTGGCGGAAGAAGTAGGTAACCTGCTGGAGGCAAGAGCAATTAGAGAAGTGCACTACCCAAGATGGATCTCCAACACAGTCGTAGTACCAAAGAAGAATGACAAGTGGCGTGTCTGCGTCGACTATAAAACAATCAACAAGGCATGTCCAAAAGACAGCTTTCCTCTACCACGAATAAATCAACTGGTCGACCTAACGGCGGGGCACAACCGACTTAGCTTTCTAGATGCATTCAGAGGCTACCATCAAATCGCCATGCATGAACCAAACCAGGAGGTCACATCATTTACAACTCCAAGAGGACTATACTGTTACAAGGTCATGCCCTTTGGCCTAAAGAACGCAGGGGCGACATTCCAACGGATGGTCACCAAGATGTTTAAACCGTTGTTAGGCAGAACAATGGAAGCTTACATCGACGACATGGTGGTCAAGAGCATGGATGAGAATGACCATCTCAAGGACCTAGGCGAGATATTTGAGATCCTGAAGAAGCATAAGTTGCGCCTCAATGCGTCCAAGTGTGCATTCGGAGTAGGATCTGGCAAATTCTTGGGTTTCCTGGTAACCAACCGAGGTATAGA